CATGAGCCAATGAAGAGCGCCAATATTGCGGGTACAATACTCGAGACCAAAGAATTGGCTAATATTATATGGGAAACGTAGGGCTGTACTCGTTTTTCGATGTCCTGAAAAATATGGAAATTTATTATAGAATAAATAAGAAAGTCTATTCGGAATAGTATTTAAAAAGTGTATTACACATTTCTGAGAATCGCCGAACAGTATTCTATTATGGGAAAGAGGACAAAATTAAGTAGCTCCAGAACGAGAAAATATAACGAAATAATGTAACGGTGTTTTAAATATTCGGCGATGGAGAATTCAAGAAAAATAGTCTCGTTGTTTGGCGAAAGTAAATTCATGACGTACATATATATGTATGTAGCTACCTTAAGATTCTCCTAGAAATTTTATTTTGAAAAAAACTTTTATGACAGATTTTTGAATCAGCGTGGAAATCTGAAATAAATTCCTCGGACCCAGGGAAGTTACATATATTCCTGGCATTCGTGAGGGTAACTCGAGACAGATAGATTAAACATATTTTTGTGGTATTGTCGCAATTTCTCATTAGGGATATTCATCTAAATGCGTAAATGCCTCGCAACCTCGTACATAAACCTGTTTTCCATACAAAATTGGTATGTTTAGAAGGTATACTTACATACGTAGTTATGAGGCATTTTCGCGTTTATATTAATACCCCAATTGTATTATCAGTGGTAGCAATACAACGTATTTATTATTGGAAAATGCTCATCAATTACAAATTTGACAATGGCGACATTTCGTTAGCCAGTTTACACCTTGTGTGTGGATATATATATATATATGCATGCATGGTACATACCTATAAATGAATTTGTAAGATTTTGGTTTTACCACTTCTATTTTACTTGATCTGTATGTATGTAAAATTTATTGTTTGGATAAAATTTCGCGATAAATTTTTGATGAACTTCCCGATGACCTAGATAAATTAATCAGCTAGGTGGCGCAGGAATCGAAATAAAAAAACCGTATTTGTAGTCGGATTTGGTTTATTATGTTAGAACATAAATATATTTAATACATGGAAATAAATAACTGCACAAAAAATGTTGCCGATAGGTGGCGCGAGTGTCAAAATATTCCCGAAACCTACATTTATGGTCTAATTCAGTTCGTATTTGGAAAGCTTGTTTTGATTTTTTATACCCGAGCGCACTTGTGCACAAGGGTATTATAACTTTGTTCACATAACGGTTGTTTGTAACAGGCAAAACGAATCGAGATAGATATAGACATATGTACACATAAATGATCAGAATAAAAAAAGAAATCGATTATGTGGTGACTGTCTACCCGTCCGTCTGTGCACACGATAACTCGAGTAAAAATTGAGATATCTTAACGAAACTTGGTACGTGAACTTCTTTTGGGCGTGGGACGGATGGTATTGAAAATGGGCGAAATCGGATAATAACCACGCCTACCTCCCATATAACGGTAATTTTAAGAAATACGAAAACTGCGATATTTTAGTAACTACTGAAGATAATTCACTCAAAATTGATACTTACAATGAGTTTCAGACGGAAAACATGAATATTATAAATTTTTGGAAAATGGGCGTAGCCACGCCCACTTATGGTTACATGTGTATATCTTGGTAACCGCTGCACCAATTTCTTCCAAACTTGGCACAGTTGTTGGCCTTAGTACAGCATACTAAATGGCTGAAAATTTTAAAAATCGGACAATAACCACGCCTACCTCCCATATAACGGTAATTTTCAGAAAAACGAAAACTGCGATATTTTAGTAACTACTGAAGATAATTCACTCAAAATTGATATTTGCAATGAGTTTTAGACGAAAAAATAAGAATATTACAAAATTTTGGCAAACGGGCGTAGCCACGCCCACTTATGGTTACATGTGTATATCTTGGTAGCCGCTCACCAATGTCTTCCAAACTTGGCACAGTTGTTGGTTCTGGTACAGCATACCAAATGGCCGAAAATTTCTAAAATCGGACAATAACCACGCCACATCCCATATAACGGTATTTTCGAGAAATACAAAATCTTCGATAAATCAGTAAATATTGAAGCTAATTTATTCAAAATTGATGGTTGCAACAATTCTTTACCAAGAAATACGTTTATGACAAAATTTTGGAAAATGGGCGTAGCACCGCCCACTTGTGATCACATATATGTATCTCGTTAACCGTTCTAGCAATTTGTACCAAGCTCGGTATGGTTATTGTGCTTGCCACATAAAAGCAAACCGTTGAAAATTGTTGAAATCGGACTAAAATTGAGGCCGCTTTTCATATAACGGTAAATTTCAGAAATGCTTGAAATTTCAATATTTCGAAATTTAAGGACGCTAATTTACTTAAAATGTATACACCCCGGCTTATCATGTAGCGGTAGCTTTCGGAAAGGTGGAAAACATATATTTAATACTTGCGCCGGGTATTTAATGTTCGGCTCCGCCCGAACTTAGACTTTCTTACTTGTTTTTTTTTACTATTAACTTATTTATTTTTATCATTCAAAATATATGTGGTTGGATGGATGTTTATATTATATAGTTTTCTGTAAGTAAACTTTCAAAGTACATACTCGTAGGTGGGGTAAAGGTGGGGTAAGTGCCAAATTTGTTCTTTCATATGGCCGGTCTAATGTATGTCACTACCCGCCTCTTTTTTTAACCACGTGTTTACCAAATAGGCACATTTAAATTTCGCACATATGCATAAATGTTTATTGTGTTATGGTCGAGTATAATACATTAATATTCATAGATAACAAATTTATCGAGGGTGAACCCCCAGTTAGAATTGCTTAATCTAAAAAAAGCAGATACGAAAACTAGAAAAACCCGCCATTACTAGTTTCAATTCAAAATGACCTAATTGAAGTTTTTCCGAAAATGACTTTTTTATTTTATCTCAGATTGCGGTTACTTTTTACATTATTTCAATAATAGTTTTGCTAACAGCTTTCAAATTTGTCATTCAGGGCGTTGTTATAACTTGCATGGAATATAAACTATAAGCAGATAGTTTGCTGCACAATTTGAGTAATGGACAATTATTTGCTAGAATGGGATATTGTTTTTTTTTTTTTTTTGCATCGTTATCGCTTCATTTCAGTAGTATTATCGCTTTGGAATTTGTTAGCGACATCAAAATTTTTATTCAAATCGATGAGTGAAACGTAAAAATCGTTATTGAAACAAAGTATTTATGTATTATCTTATGGTTATCGAAACAAAAACTTAATCTTCACTTTAAAGTTAACACCAGAGCTAAATTTCAACCTACCGAACCGAAAGATGCAAAAGGCCCTGTAAGAAACTTTTTTAATTACGTCCGTTTTCAGAGTGACGAGTTATCTCTCATTCGGCAGTTAACTACAGGTTTTCAGTACAAAATTTTAAAGTTAACTGCCGAATTTGAGTTAACCACCCAAAATTTCAGAGACGATATACCCTGCAAACCAAAGTTCCCGAAATCTTAACGAAATCTTTAGGAGTATCTGATTTCTGTAACGATTTTTTCCCGAATCTTCAAAGAAAATTATATGAAGTGGTTGACACGAACTCGTAAAGAAATTTCTGTACGAAAAATAAAGAAAATACTGAAAAAAGTCTGCAAGAAATTCTTCACATAGCAGCATTATTTTCATTTCTTTACCGATTTTCTTCCGAAATTTCGTAAAAGAATGGAAGTGTGCGTAATCTATTTCATTTTAGAAAATTCGGAAAAAAATCGGATGGGATCTTTCCGAATTCTTTAAAATTTCTTTACGATTCAGAATACTCTGAAAAAATGGTTTGCAGCATTAATTGTACATACACATACATATCTATGTTTATAATTGACTTCAATTACTCACCGAATTTGTTGTTGCATTTGCAATGCCCAACATTGGTTGACAGTCTTCTTCAGTGTAATCAAAAATCACTTTACAGCTCTGATAAAGTAATTGATTAGTAAATACAACGGCTAAATGTAAAAAATAAGTGTGTGAAATGTTATTTTTAAATACTATTATAACGATGAAACGGCAATTTCGAATGACCTACATGGCAGAGTGGTGCTAAAATTCAGAATAAATATTGGTGGTTCTAATATAAAAACGCGTCTCAAAGGATTTAACCGCTGTCTTTTGGCTGAGTCGTCTACAAAAGCCTGGCCGCTATTTACTTCGTCAACGTTGACTGAATTTTGTATATCAGCAGGATGGCTTGGTGTGTTTGTGATGTTTTCCGCATCGTACACATTGTTTTCGAAACTGTTTCCATTCATTTTCTGTTCGTTAATTATGCTACGCTCGATTTATTTAGATATGTTTTACACTTTCTTCACTATTCTATTTATACGACTTTATAGTTGTTCGGTTTAATGGGCAGAATAAAAAAATGCGGCACAATCGACTGTCATTGACAGTCTCTCTCTCTCCAACTAACTTTGATAACAGCACCCACATAATTTATATATTGCAATATTTTATGGCCGGCGTGCAAGCGAACGGCGTGGCGTGCAAGTGCGCGGGTGATTCCCTTGCGAGTAAGTTAAGCTAAGTTAAGTATGTATATACGTAGCTGAAGTTTGATAAGGAATTTGTAATGCATGTTTCATCCAAAGGTGGAAACGTACTGACAACGAATGGTCAGTACACCAAAAGCAAAGATAAGATAAACACAGCAAAATCACATCGAAAGTTTTTCACAAAATTCACATCTAAAAATGAGTTTGGTTCTCGGCTAGAGGTACGGTTTTGACATGTAAACCTACTGACGCATGACAAACCAAAAAAGCTGCTAAACAAACAACATCATCTCCTCTACAAACATCGACGCCGATTAGCGAACCCGGATAAGCCAACAGCTCATCAGCGACTAGACTGGCT